ACAGAAGCATAATCGTGGATAATTCATCCTTGTTCATTATTCTTACCTTTGATACGAAAAACATTCTTTCCCCTAAATCACTTCCAGTAATTACGCCACCGTATTTTTTTCCAATTTCGCTAATTTTTTTTTCACATGCTTTTAATTTTACAATATCATCACCATCAATAAGTATAGCAGCCAAACACATTTTACCAGCTTCCAATTTTTTCATTTTTTTCAGGTAATATTTTTTTATTACTTCAGAAAAAATTGATCTAACAGTTGGTGTTGTAGTATTAAATGCATGTACAAGTTGTAATCCAGGTTCATCTACCAAACGTGCACCACTAAACTTTATGATTTTCTTTTGCGCAATTTCGCGAAGGAATAAAAGTCCATTATGAAATGATGGAAAATAAATAGGAACGTAAAGATGTTGAGATGCAAAAAAATGAATTTTAAGTGTTAATTCAGTAATGACGCCTAATGTACCTTCAGTACCAAATAATATTTGAAAATTAGGACCCGAAGAAATTGGTGATGTATTTATATAATTTCTTTGTATTGTTCCTAATAACGTTATATATAAGAGTTAGTTATGTAACGGATTATAGTTTGCAAAAATGATAAAGACAAACCTGCAGGGGTGACCATCTTGAAATTTATAACACTATGTTCAAGATCACCACTCATATTTCTTTTGATATCATCTGAGCGTAGGGAAGCAATACCACCGACAGTACAAAATTCTAACTATATAAAATTACAATAAACGATTAATTTTTTGATAATAATAATTCAGCAGAAGTAAATAATATAAAATGATTAGATACAAACCATTTCAGCATCCCATCCTAAGGTAAAACCCCATTTCCTCAATTCTTTTTCGAGGTCTTGTGCTACAGTTCCGGCTTCAACTATAACATACATATTTTCTTTACTCAATGATAGAATCCTATTCATTTGTCTCATGTCCAAAGAAATTATCATTCTTTTTTCACTTTCTTCAGGACACTCCAAAGCATCAACATCATTTGAGCCACTGCCATATGGGATACAACCAACATTAAATTTAAGAGCAGCTTGGACAACGGCTACCACTTGCTCGTGGGTTTCTGGCCATATAACCGCGTCGGGTATTCGAGCAAAATTCCCATGCCTAAGTTTATAAATTTCAGCAGTACTAATGCCGTGTCCATGTGACAGCCTGTCATGCTCCGCAAATGAGATCATGATTCCTTGAGGTTTTATTGCATCATAAAATTCATGATTGACATTAGGACTGGCCAGTTCAATAATACTGGGTTGAGCTGGACATACAGTTTTCAAATTTATTCGAAGTGTTTGTTCAAGCCAAGGACGAAGTTCATGAAATTCTTTAGAACTAAAATTTGGATAACGGTTTCCTGTTGAAAAGGCAGTTCCACGTTCATCAAATTTAAAAAAAGTATCTTTATAGCCGTATCCATTCCATTTTCTGTCTCGATTAGTACAGACAGTTAAACATTGGCTTGGAGATAAAGTCCGCCATTCTTTTGAATTATTATTAGTATCCTCTTCATTATTAAGATGCTTAAGTAAAATATCCAAGCGTCTAGAAGCGGTCAGAGGATCATGCCCGGACATCATGCAATTTAAAAATAAAAAAACTCGAATCGTTAAAATACCGAAAATTTTTTAATTCTAAATAAGGTTAGATTGAACTTTGACAGCTTTCATCTTTGGATGTGCATAAATCCATATCGGAAATGAATAACGAATAAGTTTTACACGAAAAGAATACTTGTATCGAAGTAAAATTACTTAAATTACAGTAGAAATGGTAAGTTATGACAATCGCATTCAATCTCTGAAAACATCTGAAAGTCGGGAATAATCGTGGTTTATACCGGTTAATTAGTTACCAATTAATTTCAACATAAGAAATCTAGTTTCTAATTGAATGCACGTAAAATATAACTCTAACAAAACAGCGTCCTTAGATATACCAGAGCATAGGACTGGGATTATCGATATTCAACATAAATAAATTTTCATTCTTATCTTATTGTTGATGTTTTATTTTTTTAAAAGGTTTATTTATTTATTTATTTTTACATCTTTCTCTCTATTTTTCTCTTTTTTTTTGCTTTATTTCTCTTCTTGATTTCGATTAAACCTCTAAATTTTTTAGTATTTGACTTGCTTTTTGATTTTTTACTTTTTCGTTCGATATTAGGCTTTACATTAGCCATGTCTTCTTGTAAGTTTTCAATTGGATGTCTATTTCCCTCATTTGAATCATAATCTCTGTCCAAATTATTAGATAGCATCCGTTTTGTAGATGGCTTGTTTATCCTAACACAATTGAAAAGAATTATAAATCTGATATTTTAAAAGCGTATAATACAACTGTATAATGCAGCAATATTCTTACCTATCCATGTCTAATGGTCCAGTCAGACTCTTGACGAAGTTATCATATAAAAATGGTCTAGCAACAGATACTGTTGATGAAGAGAGAGATTTATCATTTTCCGTCGAGCTGGGAAGAGTAAGAGAATACATTGACTCCTCGGTACTAATGATTCCAGCTCGATTCCTTGGAATTATTGCCTCTTTATAAACTTTGGACACATTTACATCCTATTAATTTTAAATAGCTGTTTTGTCAAATTGATATTTTTTCATAATTTATTAATATTTCTTAATTATGAGCGGACAATTAAATATTTACCCCATCCAAAGTTGTTGATACTTTTATATTATCTAAAGTCTTGGTGTAAACACGGTCCCACCTTATAATAGAGGTTCAAAAAGATATAGGTGTTGTCATTGAAAATTGAATTAGGAAATTGGTAATCATTTCATATATAATCTTACCATTCAAAAGACCAATCTTCAGAATTGTCACCGAGCTTCATAAGAACATCGAATACATATAAAATTTTATTTACACGACAGGTTGAATTCTATTCCTTCATTTTATTAAAAATTATTGCAATTCTGTATGGAATGCCTACCCCACGCATATCATTTTTATTTATTACTGTTATAGGTTCTTTTCTTCCTTCAAAGTTCTTCCCTAAACCTTGACCTTGAGACCAGCCATATTTTTTTAATTGTGTTTCCGCAAAATTTTCTATCATTTTAAAGTATGATTAGAAAATGATTTTCGATATCTGATATTATACAATATATCGCGTTATGCTACACATAAATGTAATGTCACGTGGAGTATAATTCAGTTAGAGCTTACGTAGTAGAAAAGGGCCCAAACCGTGTGGTATATACCGGTAATAAAAATTACAAATTTTGATAATATTTCGTTTCGTAAGAATATTCACTATTGCTATGCTCAAAGTTGAAAAAAAAATCCTGTACTTTATCACCAGTTACACTAATAATCGTTAAAAGCTAAGTTTTTAATCTTAATAATAGCGATAGCTTTACAGTATACATACTATATATATACTTAATTATTTATGAAGTCGCAAGGAAAACTTTTTGCTAGACCAATCAGACCGCAAAAATACTATTCTTGATGGATCGGCAGTACTGTTCTTGATGGAATTCAAATTTTTTCAAATTTTTGGGCCTAATCGATATTTCCAAATTTTTGTATTTTGGCCAAATTTTTTCAAAATTTTGACCGATTTTTAGGAAGCATGTGATTTGACCAATAAAAAATGGGACAATTGGCATGTGATCTAGCAAAAAGTATATAAATATTAAATTTTATGTGACTTGTTCTTTAAATGCAATAGTTTATTAATATTTACCACTACAAGATCTTTTAACCAAAAGTTGTATAAAAGAGGAGTTGGTATTGGTGCTTTTTTTTTAAACATGTACAATAAAAAAAAAAAAGGCTCTTAATAAATGAATTACTATAGTAGCAAGATGGGCACAGGCTGGGTTCAAGTAAACGTAGAAGAAACTAAAATAATAGATAAAGGTTATATAGGACTTCGTGACTAGCCATCTTTGACTAAGCCAGAGCTATACACTTTCTGGCTAGCATTATTAACAGTACCAGTTAGGAAAAAGGTTAAAATTGCATCAGACAGTGCCGCTGCTTTATCGATCATTAAGAGATATCTTAGAAAGTCAAGCTCAGAAGACTGGTACAAGTTTAAGAATGTAGAAATAGCCCTAGCGATAGCAGATTTGTGCAGAATAAAAAAAATCAACTTATCATTGACCAAGATTAAAGCCCATGCAAATAGCAAATAGAATAATATAGCAGATGCACTAGCAAAAGATGGTGCAAATTTGGACAAAATTCTAATACATAATCCTCATCTAAGCTCAAGAATCCCATTCAAGCTATACTGGAACAACACTTGTGTAGAGCCAGAGCCTAGAAGCTTCATAAGCTATGTTTTCAATCTGAAAACTAAAGCAGAATAGCGGTCTTCAGGTGCAGTAGAACCACTCGAAAACTACGAAGTAGATACAAACTACAATTGGAAGATTTTCTGGAAAAGACTTAAAAACCAGTTGGGTATAAAATGCGACTTAACAAGGAAAAGTAAAAAGCTGAGTATGCTAATCAAATGTATCCAAGATCGACTTCCCACACTTGAATTTTTACATAGACGAAAGCCCAATCTTTACGTATCTCCGAATTGCATAGGTTGCAACATAGCACTAGAAACTTTGAAACACTTAGCAACCTGCAGTATACACGAAAAAAGTTGGAAAACAATAGAGAAGATGACAGTTGACACATTATGGACAATAGTCATAGAGGAGAAGACACATATATCTACTAAGAAAGAGTTGGCAGAAATTATTCTAGGCCGAAGTCCAGATAAAAGGAAAAGAAGGAGAGTAGAAGCAATCAAAGGGTTATCACGTAAAGAAGCCCTCCGTAAAATGCATATAAGGACGGGGTCATATACGGTCTCAAGACAGCTCCTGAAGATGCTACCTTTTTACTTTGAAATGATTTTTATGAAATAGTTTGGAAATTTAGATGTGAGAAAGTAGTTGATTGGGAAGAAAACCAAGGTATTAAAAGACAAATTAAGAGGACCAAAGCAAGCAAAAAGAAGACTTCATTACGAACAAAGCCATTAGGGTTGGAAAAGAAGAGAGGTAGAGAGATACAGCTAAAAGATAAAGATGTAGCAAACACTCAGGCAAAAAGTAGTACTACAAGTGCTTTAGGGGAAAGAATGTTTTTCGTATCAAAGGTAAGAATAATGAACAAGGATGAATTATCCACGATTATGCTTCTGT